CCCCCCCCCCCCCCAACCATTTGCATTTTTCAGCCGACGCCGTACCATGAGTGCGATAGACAAGGACTGGCCCACGCCTACGCTTCGCCCGTGCCGTTCATCAAGGATGGGCTGCTGTTCTACCTCAAGACCGCCCACTACCAGCTAGGCCCGACGCCTCTGGTGCTGCTGTGGAAGGACGCATCTGTGGCGAGGTATCTAGGGATACAGTCGGACCAGGTACAAATTAGCAACGCTGTAGTCGCTGACAATGTTGATTTGCCCGTTGTCGAGATGTTGTGTCCCCTAAAGTGCAAATTAACAAATAACCAAAATAAGAAACACACGTCTGGAAACAGAGTATTTATTTTTAACCAAGTGAACTGACATCTTGCAGTCTTATTTTACGATTACGGTAGGGGCCACCGAGTTGAGGTACCTTTGGTGTAGTCATCGCATTCCGTTGTGTGCTCGTGGGTCGAAAAGTCATGTGTTGGACGTCGTCCATGCGGTGGAGTTAGCATCACAGGTGCTTCGTAGACCGTGCGGGTTTCCGGATGGGTGTGGGGTACGCAAGCAGATCGGTACTCATGCTTCCTTCGCTTTTGTGTCTTGTTGTTTGAGCGTGATGTACGATGAACGTACTCTCGACCACTCGCTTCAGCATTGCACTGTACTGCTGTAGTGTGTTGAACCCGCCACGGTTGTGTCTCGGCAGTACAGCTGTACCGTCGGGTGCTGATGCAACCAACAACCGCTGGTTCTTCTTCCGCTGCCGCTGAGCACCCCCCCCTTCCCCCCCCAAAGTTTCACTCGGAAAACCACGCCCTATGAGCAAGGGATTGCAACCAACCATCGTCTCAGAAAAGCGTGCGCGTCGACGTCCCGCGGTGCTTTCAGGCTGTGGTGTTGAAGGTAGGGGACCGCAGCAGCGCGGAGTCGGAGGTGGAGAGAGAGCTCTCAAGAGGCGGCGAGACCGATGCCGGTTCGGCGGATCACTCTGACAACAGCCCTCGGACGGTTTCGCTTTTGGACGACCCCCACAAAGGAGCGTTTGCTGCTGCGAGTACCGGTGGAGATCAGCGGGATGATGGCGGTGGCGTTGGCGGTGAGGCGAAATACCCACTGATGACCGCGGACGGCGTGTGTGTGGGGGAGGTGGGACTGGAAGGGAGCCCTACGTTCGTCCCGCAGGTGAGATGCTACAACCGCCGTGGGTTGCATACGATTTTTCTGAAAAACTTTGATTACCATTTGATTTTTGGCGTCCTCTTCATCATGCATCATGGAGTAGTCCAGCTTTGAGAGTTGGCCCAGGGGGTGCGATATCTTGGGTCACCACGGAAAATCATTCACCCTATTTGGCGACGCACACCAAGAGTTGGCCGCTCTTACGATATCATCCTCATTATTGTGTTGGTTCTCGACGCTGCTTTTTGACGCTGAGTGTGGCATGTGCCCCTGTCGGGTACCCCGCGAGAACCGTGATTTCCAATACACGGAGCCCCCATCACCCGCCATACCTCGTTGGGTATCCCCCAAGAACCGCGCTTTCCAATCCACTCGTCCCCCATCACCCACCATTACTCTGTCGGCTACCGCCCGAAAATCATGTTTCCATTCCACGGAGCCCCCATAACCTCTGCTGAAGCAGGCGAAGGCGAACGACTTGCTGCGGTTCAAGCTGACGGGTGCCGAGGAGGAACTGCTCGACCAAGTAGCGGGAGGCGCGGGGAAGGCGGCGGCGGCGTCGGCCACTGGAGGGGGGGCGGGGGCGCTGAGGGGGTCAGTGCATGGACTTCGGTTCGACAAGCGCTGCAGCAAGTTGCGGCCTATGGCGGACACGTGGAGTAAGGTGATGTGGTGTGATGATGACGATGTTAGTCGTTTGTTGTTGTTGTTGTTGTTGTTGTTGTTGTTGTTGTTGCTGCTGCTGCTGTTGTTGCCCTTGTTGCCCTTGTTTGTTGTTTGTTGTTGTTGTGATGGTGGTGTAGGCGATGCAAAGCTCCTCCAGTCGTAAACTCTTTTGCCATCGAACTCAAGGCCGCCGGAAATTACGACCGGCTGCACTGCTGTCCAAACCAAACAAAGTTAATGTTCTAGGCAAGACATGGCGGTGCGTGTTTGAGCAGCGCTGGACCGGTCAAAGGTGCTGTACACGCTAAATATCTAGTTTCGACCCATGATGGCATTTTCGAGGTACTTGTTCATGTGTGCGACACCATGTGTTGGGACCATAAAGCACGACGAATGCGACATGAACAACCAACAGGTGCTCTTCCAGTCCAGGCTCCGAAGAAACGGCGGGGTTAGTATCGAAGACATCGATTCCAAGGCCAAGTGTGCCATCACTCCATCGATAGGCCCTCAAGAGGGACAGGGAGGTGAGCAGCACGCGGAAGATGATGATGACGATGATGAGATGCTCTAGAAAGCAAGGGGTGGGATGCTCTATTTGGGAGGCAGGCTATGGGACCCTCGGTTAACAAGGCGATGGGGCGCGCATTATGGAACACGATGAGGTGCTCCATTTGGAAGGCGATGGGATGCTATATGGCGTATTTCGAAGACAAGGCGATAGAACGCTCGTTCAACCCGCGTTCCCTTCCTCAGAGTCCTAGCGTGGTGTTACAGCAGACGGCTGTGACCCGTGTGGAAAGGATGAAAATACGGTTTGATGAGTGCTCGGACTAGCTTTCTACTGGTTGGAGTATGATGGAGCTACCCCCTATGGACCGTGTGTGCGGTCTAGATTCTCGGTGGGAAGAAACACCAATGGCCCACCTCTTCAGAGAATTCGTAGGCTTTTCGGGAAACGTGGTTCGTGCGGTAGCTCCTGATTATTAATTCCTTCTAGCAAGCCTAATAGGAGGAGTTTCTTTGATGCTGCTCTTCCAGAGCGAAACAGCGCGATTAGACGCGGTGGTGCTGAGAGGGGGGGGGGTGATGACCGGTGATGACCAATCACGTCTTGGGTTCACGGATGCTGTAGTGATGCCACGCATACCTACTGCTGTTGGGCGTTTCGTTTTCTGTGTGGTTTTGTGTGGCGTCATCACAGCGCGCATACCGTACAAGAACCACGAAGTCAGGTGTGTGCCGTGTGTGCGGTACAATAGACCACGTATTGTTGCAATGAAGCAGCTCCAGCAGCTCCAGCAATACCTGTATTATTGGGGAAGGAACTTTTTAGACGGTATCCAAACCGGAAAGTTAACGAGTTTTTTTTTTACCCCTCACGATTTCACCCTAGAAACGGCCGCAACCGAACGTGGTTCGACATAGGAGAGGGAAGCTTCACACCCTGCGCGTGCTTTGCTCCTCTGAGACATCTTGGCCACATCTGTCTTGCCTTACTCTATCCATGTTGCCCCGCTGTATGTAGTCAACCAAGCGCATGGGACTTTCGCCACGTCTGTCAAACCGCAACATGTCACCTCCAAACATGTTACCCTCCCCCCTGCCCTCGATCTTGTGCGCTACTGAGAAAGCACTGCAACACCACCAGCACATAGACTATCCAGAAAGCTATTCCAAACAAACATGAACCCGCAAAACTCGACAAAGAGGGTTAGTAAGGCTGCACGCGGGCCAACACCCACCCTCGGACAAATCAACCACATGTACAAGACCAAAATTTCCTTCCCGAAGATGAGAGAGCACAACATCACCAACACCAACGCCGACCGGCCGGCTTTGACGACTAGTCTCTGTCCCACCCATGAGGGAAAAACGTGCGATCAGATACATCTACGATAGTAGGCTACCGATTAAGCATGTAATCGATCCGGTGCTATCTATCTGCAATCGACCCTTCATTCGTCAGCGAGCGGCGTTGTGCCTGCGACATCAACTGTTGCGCCAGAGCGCCTGCCCAGGTGAGGCGTGCACACCGACTTTGCACACTAATGTAGAACCGCTAGCTTCGGACGCACCGTTAAATTCAACCGCGGAAACGGCTGCGTCAGAATGAAGCCAAGCAAGACACATATCCCAAGTACCGGGGACAAAGTAACCGGGGAGACCACATCACCATCCGGTTTCCACCTTCAATTCAAGCCCATGCGCGCATCCCTCAGCAGCGATACCAACAATGTAACGACAGAGGTAGAACGATTTGATCATGAAAGCAGGAAACAAGACGTCCGAATCCACAACCCCTCCGCGAAACAAAAAACGCAAACAAAAAAAAGAAACACAATCTCATCCCAGGTACGCAACCTGCAACACCAACTTAAGCTCCGTGGCTTGCCCCCGGCCAGAGAAAATTCTTCGATATTCCATTGTACCATCAATGAGCACGTCACTGCTATGATGCAGGCAAGGGCAAAGCCAACTTTCATTGGCGAAACAGCCACGCGCCGCGAATCCAAATCCCCGAGAACAACCCCGGGATCGTTGCCGTGCGTGGGAAACACCGCTATTCTACGCAATCGAAACACCCACCACGAGTTTACACCACGCTGATCTTACGACGGATAGGGACACCCACAGCAAAGCTACGTCAAGCTAAGCTACGCTATGCGAAGCTCAGGTCGTCCAGGTCGTGTGTGAGGAAACCGTCGTCCGCGAGATCGAGAGGCGTCGACTCCAGTGCCTCCAGTGCCATGGTCTGTTTACAGCACCACCGGATACATACAGTGTTGGGCAACAATGGGCGGAGCTCAATGATCGATCTCGAAGGAAAGTAGGGAGACAAACAGGCGCGGTGGTTCGCCCTTGTGGGCAAAAGAAGTACCAATCGGGAGTGAGGAGCAAGAAAGCTAGGAAGAACACCGCTAACGGGGGAAAGCCAAGAGGGTAGAGGGTTGCTGGGTCTTCGTTCCGCAGGATCAGAGAGAGAGGAAAAAAAGCAGCCCAGCGCACAGCAACAAGATGCAAAATTCACTCGCCAAAGCACGGCAGCCAGGTCACAACGACCGTCCTGCAGCACAGCAAAAGGATGCAGAATGCACGCACGACAATGCATCTATGTTGCAGTAACACACGCACCGCCGTCTCTGCAAATGGCAACGGCAAAGCTACGGAGCACAGGAGCAAGCCATGTCTGCTGAAGCGGCGCCTGGAATGCACGCTCTCGTCCGAATCACTACACCTTCGTATGTCGGACAGACGAAAGATGATGCAGGTCAGAAAAAGACCGGGCTACAGTATTGTCCAAAGCCTATCTACTATCTACCGAAACGACACAAGAAGAACACAGCAGTACTTTTTCGGGCCAACATGGCAGGGCGGGTTATTAAACCACACACCCATAACGACGCCCGCTTGTGTTCAATAGGGTGCTGCTGAACCATTCCTTGTATCTCCTCGAGGACTCCTACACAAATTGCATCGTGTATAGTTCTTTTCCCTCTGAGCCTTCTTTCTAGCGATGCGGTCTTCACTCAATCAAGAGATAGCATGTAATGAAATTTATACCCAACAGGCACAGCGACGGCAGCAGCAGCAGCAGCAGCAGCAACAGCAGCATGAATCTACAGCAACGACAGCAGCAGCAGCATGAACCTACTACAGCAACGGTAAACTAGCTCACCACCGCCTCCATATCCAGGTCGAGGGATGAATCGTCCTCCAGAACGGTACGGCTTGCCTCTGCCTTCTCTCCCTTCTCCTTGTTCTTGTTATCTCCGGAGATCTCCTTTTCGCGCTCTGGGTGGATGGATAAATTGTACCAACGGAAGCAGTGCGGACTTCCAAAAAAACAATGGCATGCTCCTCTTCCATGCTTTGGGAATTGCGACATTTCTTCTGTGTCTTTATTTCTTGCAGCGAGCGTTATTTTGGCGACCCCGGCACTCACAGAGTCCAAACCATGCGTCCACAAACAGGCGGACCCCCCGAAAACAACGCCAACAAGAAACGGTACGAAGCCAGGACTGTTTCGCCAATCATGATCACCTTCAAAGTCGGCGCGCACGATGCCCTTGATAGCGCTGTCGAAGCTTTTCTCGAGCACGCCGGAAGCAGCGGCACCAGTGTTGGCACCAGCAGCGGCAGTGTTGGTGATATCCCGCCCGAAACGGCTCTTTGAGCGAGGGTGAGAAGAAGACGCCTGCGGGAACGATGACGAGGTTGACTGTGATCGCGATCGGCTTGAACGGACGGCGGATGACCTTGCGAGTAGGAAGCCCGTCGGGGGGGACAGGGCAGGTG